GGGTTTGAACCGCCAGCCTTCTGGTGAGCAGTCAAGTGCCTTAGGCACTATGCTACCAGAGCTCCTTCTATGGAATATAGGCTCTAGAGTTAGAATCTTGGTTTTACAACTTAATAGCTGTGCAATTTTGGGGAAGTTACTGAATCTTTTCTGTAATCTTGGGAATGCTAATAGTACCAATTCATAAAGTGTTTATATGATTTCAATAAATTAATATAATTTAAAATTTTCAGCAGAGTTCTGGAAAGGTGGTAACAACAAAAACATAAGAAGTCTGAGTTCCCAAATACAACTAGAACAAAATAATAAAAAAAAAATCATGGACAATATTTAGAACATAATTAGGTGACAAGATATACCCATGAACTCTAAAATTGAAGTATATAGATACAAATCACCAGTCACAATACCTATGTGTTTACCAGGTCATATGTGGGAACATGAAGGAAGCATTGAGAATATTTTCTGATGACTTGAAAACAGAAAAGCCCCAAAATAGCTAATAAGAATTCAGTGGACAAAAAGAAAAATGACTAGATATCCTGGTCCTATAGAGACTGGTGTAACCCCAAGACTGTGGCCCTTACATAGTCTTCAAGCCTGCAACTGAACCCACCCCCAAGGAGGAACTTTGAGCCAAGCCAAACAGCGGACAAGCCTCTAAGGTGACTATCACCACCAGATAGGAATTATGCAATACAGTCAACCATGTGAGACCAAAAGGGCAGCTTTAGTCCAAAAACAAAGCTCGGAAGGCAGGAAAGAAGGAAGAAAAGTCCCTGAAGAAGGCAATGTTGTGGTCACTGCTTGATCACAGCCAGCTACCCAGAGGGACTGAGTAGTTGAACCTGTGGGCTCGGGACCATAGTCGCAGGGGACATCAAGGTCAATTGGCATAACATACTATACAAAACATTGTTCCACCTCCTACTTTGGCGAGTAGCGACTGGGATCTTAAAAGCTAGCAAGGTGCCATCTAGATTCAATGATGGGTGTCTCCTTGTCTAGAGCAAAGAAGAATGAAGAAAACCAAAATTCATGGAAAGAATTAGTCCTAGTGACTGGTACAGCATCCGATCTGCAGCCTATAC